CCCACAACTCTCTGATCTTCTTTCCTTTCACTTTCTACCTTAGTTTGAAAGACTTTTTTTCTCCTGGCTCCTCTGCATTATATTCCTTGGCTTTTTACAGAAGTACAACTTCTGCGTGCCAAACTCTTTTCACATAATTTAACTAAATCCGTATGTCCAGTTCATACAATTGAATACGAATCTCTGGCAGATGCTCTCTCAAAATCTGGTTATCATTTTAACATTTTTCATTCCATGCAGTTTTTTAAGAGATTTTTGCACATGCAGCTTTAACTTTTGGCAATTGGAAATAAAAACACCATCTTTCCTGCTATAGATTTCAAACAAACTCAGTTCCCAGTTTTTACAGTCAAAGCACAGTGACCTGGAAATTAGCTGTTCTGTTTTCCTAGTCCTTCCTGTTTTCCAAAGAAAAGCTAAAGATTTGAAGACGTTTCTTAAAAAAGTATGGAAACTCCAGCATTTTGCCTAATGTTCCTCTGTCCTAATCCAATTTCTTTGAAGCACAGGTTGGATCAGCAGCTTGTACTTGGTTGCAGATGTTGTTCTGCCTCTTACTTGCTATGCTACATGAGACTGCTGAAGAAGTGGAAGCAGTGGGTTGCGTGTTATGTTTGTCCATCACATTTCAAAGCAGCTCATCTTCTGGATCAAAATTAGCTCTGCCAGTTTTCTGCTTTTGGTTTAGACAGAAAAAAGCACGACAGCATTCTAGCTTCTGCAACAGTCAAAGTCTATTCAGTCTCCTTATCTGAAGACTACCATTTTGGTTTATATGCCTGTGAAATGAAACTGCATTTTCATTCATCCTTGTTCCGTGACCAAACTCTGTAAATGAAAAAGATCAAACACTAAAAGACGTGCGCACGATGTACTTCTACTGCACTGAGCCTGACGGAAAAAACAAGCTGTAAAAACTATCTGAGCTACCAAAAAGAGTTATGAGGAAGTATGAGTTACTCAAGGATATTTAGAAAGAATGTGTGTTTATATAGTCAATTAATTTCAAACAAAAGCAATTTATCTTGTCTGGAGATTCACGTGGTATGTAATGCAATTGAATTAGAAAAACAAGAACAGGATGCTCAAAAATTCTTACCTATTTAAAAGCTGCACTAGGCACTTTCTATTTTAGGACAAGATTTAATTGCATTCTGTAAAATGCACTGGCAGGACAGTCATCTTCTCACCAGCAGGTAACAGCAGTTCCAAAAAATGTGCTTTCTCCAATGTAGCTGTAGGAACTGTTGCTACTTAGAAACTAGCATAGTCATTAATCAAAACAAAAAAAGCAAACTGTTATATAAAGCAAAAATTTTACCAAACAAGTACTTTGAGTCTGCCTAAAACAGATGATCAGAACATATTACCCAGTTCTTGGTTTATTGTCTCCATAAAAACTTGGAAGGATACATGTCTGGTCTAGTAAAATTTTTTTTTCCTGGGCACAAGTATAATGTTCTTCTTCAAGTGATTTTTTTTTTTAAATTAAAATCTTTCTGGTTCTTGCAACATTTTTACCTTATTGGTGTCTGTTCTTACTGTGATAGTTCAAACACACACATTGTCCACTGTGATGGATGCTGAATGTCCACGTTGAAGATGCTGAAAAGGAGCGAATACCAATGGGAAGCTTCACTGGGGGTGTTGTTATCAGTAGGTATGTTGCTGCTAGTAACCATGGAAACGTTTAGGATGATCTGAAGTAGTCTAAGGATAAGTAATAGGATGAAAGCAAGCAGAGGGAAATTTATGCTGATTCTTAGGGAAAAATAAACTCTTCATGTTGCATCCTCTTAAATTCATAAAAGGTCACTAGGGAACAGGTAGGTGCTTGGAGTAATTTTAAACTGGTTTGGATGAAGAAATTTGAGGTTCTCTTGCAGGAAGCGGCTTTGGCAGGAGGAGGGACTCTTCTGATCCTAGATTCATCTCAACATTAATTGCAAATGTTATGAATCCGTGGGCCTTGCTGAGCACTGGTAACTTGCTCAGTTTGAGTATCTAAGTGCCTGGCATGCACCTTTTCAAATCAACACTGGAAATCCCTGTTCACTGGTGATAATACCATTCTTCTGGAAAATATTAATTGAACCAGAGACTAAGCCACTATCGCACTGTCTTAGCAAGTATATAAATTGAACAGATCTTTCTTAAGCAGAGGCCTCTAAGTGGAGCTCAAGCAGCCAATTTTCTCCTAACTTACAGTGAGTGAGGGAGAGGAAATAATTTAGCCAGAAACCTGAGTCTGAATAAGAAGTTATTTGGTTAGAAATAATTCAATAGTCATTCAACTATTTATTTTGGGTTTGTATTCCATTGCGGAGAGGCTGTACAAAAAGGGAGTACAAGAACTGAGTGAATGGAAAAATAAAGTGAAATTCAGATATGGTGTTGTAAAGTGAGTGTGAGTAAATACGAATACATTGAAAGCTGGCAAAATGAGGTGAGACAAAATGTTAATACTGATATACTACTTTTATCCTACATGGGCTACTTCTTAGTTCCAGTAAGCTGCTTCTTCCATCCCTGTTATGCTCAATTTGATTTTGCTTAGTCACTCTTGCTCTCTCGCTATCCCTTTTTTGTAGGGATACATTTTTAAATGATACGCTGATTTACTTGTGACTCCTGCTCTCCTAAATAGATGAGGATTTGCAAAACCACGTCTTGCTTTTCCTACTCCTTCATATTGTTACAGAGGATGAAGAAGTATTTTCTAATTTCAATTTCAATTATTTTTAGGCTAAAGCAGTGACTGAACACAGATTACCTCCTCCTGGTCCTCCCACAGGCAGTGTATCACTGGCAAAAAGAGAATACTCTAAATTCCTTTATTGTGCAGTGACCTTGGTGTCCGTTATAAGGCATTATAATAAGTTTTTAAATATTAAAGAATATAAGATTTCCATTGTACTGAATCTGCACAAATAAAGCATTAAAGAAAAAGGATTTATAAAGCTTTTTCCTGATTTGCTTGATAAACCCACCAGAAACATAAAAAAAAAAAATAAAGAGCTTGCCTGATTCAGTGTGCATACCAGGATTCTTAGTAAGCTGCCCACGTTATAAAATACGATGATCTTTTCTGTGGCATTCTCATGAACGATACCTTGCATTATACCCTGGTTAGAGAGAAAAAATTTTTGATGCTGTTTCGAAAAAGTGAGATGGCAATGAAACAAGTAATTTCTTTGAAGAAGCTGGTAGATGTTTTTTACATTACCTTACTTTTATTATTGTAGAGCTTTCTTCTGATGAACCCATGCAAGTTACTTACACAGAAGTTTCCTTCTGTGTCTCTTTTGATAGTTCAAACACACACATTGTCCACTGTGATGGATGCTGAATGTCCACGTTGAAGATGCTGAAAAGGAGCGAATACCAATGGGAAGCTTCACTGGGGGTGTTGTTATCAGTAGGTATGTTGCTGCTAGTAACCATGGAAACGTTTAGGATGATCTGAAGTAGTCTAAGGATAAGTAATAGGATGAAAGCAAGCAGAGGGAAATTTATGCTGATTCTTAGGGAAAAATAAACTCTTCATGTTGCATCCTCTTAAATTCATAAAAGGTCACTAGGGAACAGGTAGGTGCTTGGAGTAATTTTAAACTGGTTTGGATGAAGAAATTTGAGGTTCTCTTGCAGGAAGCGGCTTTGGCAGGAGGAGGGACTCTTCTGATCCTAGATTCATCTCAACATTAATTGCAAATGTTATGAATCCGTGGGCCTTGCTGAGCACTGGTAACTTGCTCAGTTTGAGTATCTAAGTGCCTGGCATGCACCTTTTCAAATCAACACTGGAAATCCCTGTTCACCGGTGATAATACCATTCTTCTGGAAAATATTAATTGAACCAGAGACTAAGCCACTATCGCACTGTCTTAGCAAGTATATAAATTGAACAGATCTTTCTTAAGCAGAGGCCTGTAAGTGGAGCTCAAGCAGCCAATTTTCTCCTAACTTACAGTGAGTGAGGGAGAGGAAATAATTTAGCCAGAAACCTGAGTCTGAATAAGAAGTTATTTGGTTAGAAATAATTCAATAGTCATTCAACTATTTATTTTGGGTTTGTATTCCATTGCGGAGAGGCTGTACAAAAAGGGAGTACAAGAACTGAGTGAATGGAAAAATAAAGTGAAATTCAGATATGGTGTTGTAAAGTGAGTGTGAGTAAATACGAATACATTGAAAGCTGGCAAAATGAGGTGAGACAAAATGTTAATACTGATATACTACTTTTATCCTACATGGGCTACTTCTTAGTTCCAGTAAGCTGCTTCTTCCATCCCTGTTATGCTCAATTTGATTTTGCTTAGTCACTCTTGCTCTCTCGCTATCCCTTTTTTGTAGGGATACATTTTTAAATGATACGCTGATTTACTTGTGACTCCTGCTCTCCTAAATAGATGAGGATTTGCAAAACCACGTCTTGCTTTTCCTACTCCTTCATATTGTTACAGAGGATGAAGAAGTATTTTCTAATTTCAATTTCAATTATTTTTAGGCTAAAGCAGTGACTGAACACAGATTACCTCCTCCTGGTCCTCCCACAGGCAGTGTATCACTGGCAAAAAGAGAATACTCTAAATTCCTTTATTGTGCAGTGACCTTGGTGTCCGTTATAAGGCATTATAATAAGTTTTTAAATATTAAAGAATATAAGATTTCCATTGTACTGAATCTGCACAAATAAAGCATTAAAGAAAAAGGATTTATAAAGCTTTTTCCTGATTTGCTTGATAAACCCACCAGAAACATAAAAAAAAAAAATAAAGAGCTTGCCTGATTCAGTGTGCATACCAGGATTCTTAGTAAGCTGCCCACGTTATAAAATACGATGATCTTTTCTGTGGCATTCTCATGAACGATACCTTGCATTATACCCTGGTTAGAGAGAAAAAATTTTTGATGCTGTTTCGAAAAAGTGAGATGGCAATGAAACAAGTAATTTCTTTGAAGAAGCTGGTAGATGTTTTTTACATTACCTCACTTTTATTATTGTAGAGCTTTCTTCTGATGAACCCATGCAAGTTACTTACACAGAAGTTTCCTTCTATGACTCTTTAAGGTTAGTTTATTTACTTTTATATTAATAAAAAGCAGCAGGGAGAAATAATAAATGTGTTAGTTTCCAATTCGTACTTGCCTGGGTCATAAATAATGCTATATCGAGTTGTTACTTAAAGCAAGTACATTTTTATGTAATAAGATTAGACTTTGTTGAAATTGATGGGTAGAAAAACTGCCTCCACCTCTTTGCTGTTGTCTTTGCTCATTTGGAAACCAACGACCTATAAGAGTCTTTTGGAAATCCCAACGCGATATGTAGGAAGCAGTCAAGTGTCACTACTGGTCTCTGGCTCGTACAGCCTCTTAGATCCCACAGATGTGACTTAGGCAGCTCTGAACCTGCTTTTACACAACACTTGTAAGGAAGCCAAATTGCCGTTTCTAATGCCTTGAATTCATAAAAGACACAATTGGTATAAAGCCACCTTGAGTCTTCTTAATACCTATTCAACCTTAGGCTGAATACAGCTCACCAAGGCCGAGCTCTCAGCCGAGCTCTCTGACTATAGCTAAAAATGCTACAATTAATAATTTGAAGTCTTTTCTGAATACTTTTAGATATTTTTTCCTGGTATATTGAGAAACAATTTTTTATTTACTGTGATCAGTATAATCCAGATGTGACTGCTCTTTATATTTCCACGTACATGCTTTTAGCTTCAAATCTGCTCAAAAATAACATACTGTAGGATAATGTGGTGAAAAAAAAACATTCTGCCTTTGAACTGTACTTGACCTATCAAAAACTCACTGAAAAATCACTAGTAGCCTGAGCACACAAAGATAACAGACTGAGGGTTTCAGTCAACTTGCACTCAGCAAGCTCTATAGTTTTCTCTGAGCTGTGACATTGACTTAAAATACTCTATGACCATTTGTTCATTACCAAGAAAGCAAAATAGTTTGTTATTCAAATAAGCAAATGTAACAGTACACTATTACTGTCAATTCAGCAGCTTCCCAGCCCATTTTTAAACAAAATGGTTTAACAAAATTTATTTTCTTCCTGAAGAGAACAGCCAAGAAAAAAACAAACAAATGAATAAACAAATAAAACCCACAAAAATCCCGCAGTGCTATTTGGAGTTATGAGGCCGGCTTACATGCGTGTTGCATGCATTTACACGCTGAAAGAGATGGAAGACAAAAGCACATACTGTAAGACCAGAACTTCTTGATTCAAATCAGAATTCTGAGAATAAATCAAAACTAATAGTTAAGTGTTTGATAGATGTAAACTAGTGTGTAATTACCTTCACCAAACAACCAAATTTAGTATTAAACCCTTTGAAGAGCTTTCCTTATTTTTCTGAATATAATTTGAAAGGACTCCGGCTCTTGTCATCACATTTATGCTGATGGGAGCTCTGCAGGGTAGTTTTTAGTTCTGACTTTAGCAGAGTTCTCATGTGTTGCTTTGCAATGTTGGTGTTGTCTACCGGTCTCCGGGAACCCGATAAAATGATTTTCATAGTCATCAAAATGTTCTTATCATGAAAATAACATAACATTTAATTAAATGGTGTTTAAAGTATAATTTTTCTCTTGCAGTGTTCCTCCTGTAATTTCCTTTCTGCAGTCACCTTTCTTCCTCCTCAGTTATGTAGACATTTCAATCGAAGAAGCACTGGATGAGGCTCCAGAGGCAGCAGTTGAAAGGAATAGTCAGAGGAGCACTGGAAGAACGTGCCGTCAGCAAATATGGAGATCCAACCTAGATACTTGTAGCCTGCAAATTTGTCTGCCTTCTGTAGACACTCACATAGCTCCAGTCAGAGTAAATTGTTTTACGTATTTTTTCCTCAAAAGAATCTTTTGAAGAAAAATATACTATCTTCTCTGATTGTTTCTTATAAACAGTCCGTTATCAGAGATGGGGCAGAGGGAAGGGGTGTAAAACAAATGTATACAATTGCCATTTCCACTCTCCTATGGGCTCAGGGTCGGTGTTGGGTGGGCTTAGAGGCTCCGCGCAGCCTTGCTGTTGCCTTGGCAAAGAAGTCGGTAGTGGCTCTGCAAACTCAGAGTTTGGAGGCGCTTGGAAAAGTGTAGGTGTTCCTGTGCATCACCAAGTACGCATCGTCAATGGAGTTCCCATTTCTTCTCATTCTAAGAATTTCTGCAAGTCCAGGAAATAAGCTGTATTTCACTGCAGTTTATATCTGGATTTTTTTCATCCTAAAGATTAAGAGATGAAGCATTTCTGCAATAAAATTAATCTTTGTATATACATTCTATTGCGTGTGTTATTTTTTCTTATCAAAGGAATTAACCTCTAGTACCGAAAAATACCATAAACTGTAAAAATTAAAGAGGGCACTAAAAACATAGTAATAAAAAGGACATAAATTGCAGCTTATATCTGGATTTTTTTCATCCTAAAGATTAAGAGATGAAGCATTTCTGCAATAAAATTAATCTTTGTATATACATTCTATTGCGTGTGTTATTTTTTCTTATCAAAGGAATTAACCTCTAGTACCGAAAAATACCATAAACTGTAAAAATTAAAGAGGGCACTAAAAACATAGTAATAAAAAGGACATAAATCAGTTTTCAAATGTCAGTTATTTCTGTGCATCTGACCATCAAATTGCAAACTTGCCCATTAGTTAGAATAATGAAGTTCAAAGCCAACACTCATGTCTGAATGACCAAACCATCTAAAATTTCATTTATTGAAATTTTATTCAATTTATTTATATTCATTAATTAGTGACATAGAAAACAATATATTTCAAACAAGTCTATACGATGTTAATATATCTCAATGTAAGTACGTTAAGAACGATCAACTGCTAGATTACAAATTGTTATCTTAAATAAGAAGTCTCTGTTGGCATCATTTATAACAAGACTTCCACAGAAATACGCTTGATTCAGAGTAATTCAACCTCTTGAATACCAAGTAGAACAAGTATCTGAAAAGTGATATAAAATCACGCTTGATTCAGTAATTCAACCTCTTGAATACCAAGTAGAACAAGTATCTGAAAAGTGATATAAAATCATATTGAGTAAAATTTGCCAATGACAAAAAACCCAAATAAAATAGCACTAAGTAATGGTGCTAGGTCAGTTCTACAGCTCAGTTTGGGTGAGAAGGCGTACTTACTGTAACAGTACAAATTATGGTTTCTACAGAAGTAGAAACATTTAAGACTAAATACTCAAGTTTGTATATTCAGTAGAAGTTTGCTAAGTTCAGTCATCTTTTGACGCACAGGGTCTCCTGTAAAATTTTGTTTTGGTCTTAAGTGTTGCAGTTTTAGCTGTCCTGGGTTTTTATTTGAGTCTGGGAATTTAAAAGCCTCAAAAAATTTGAAGTACGTAAGGCTGGTTTTCACATCAAAACACAAAAGGGGGAGTTTCACATGGTTTCAACATGAAGCCATAAATCAGAACTGTTTTTCTTAAGCCTGATACCAAGGCAGCCGTAAGAATCTGAAACCTGTGATGTGATTCATACCATATCCACTTCTTTTTGAAACTAGGTAAGTTTTCAGTAATCGTCCATTTATTACATTTTTTTTGTAACTCTAATATTTAGCCTCTGGCCTTGCTCTTGCTAAAATGCCCTGTTGTTGCAAAACCCCAGTTTGTGATGACCCACCCCCCTGAGATGTCTTTCCATTGAATGATGACAGCGTTGCTGAGTCTTTATTCTTTGCTTCATGACATATTTAATAATAAATAGTTGCTACCTGAGATGCAAATTCTTTTATGGGACTAAGTTTAGTGATCACCAGCTCAGACTAATTCCTCTGTGACCTTAGGCAAGACGCTTCAGGTTTTCTATAGTTAACATCCTTATTTGTAAATTGTGAATGGCACCACTTCATTTATTGCCTAAAAAGAAAGCAACAATAAAGCTTTTTGTTCCTAGCACTATGATAATGCACATCTGACAGGTGTTACTGTTCACGAGGAAAGAAATAAATGAGTACTATGTAGAACTAAGCAATTACTCTGTACAAGTCCAAGACTTTGAGTGTTTTATACCTAGACGCAAGTGTTTCAACCTTTGAGTACTTATGTAGAGATTTGGGAGTTTGCTGGTTATTACTTTAAGACAACCTAACAAAACAGTTGTTTTTCTGTTCATTACTGAACCTGCCATGTAAAGAATTCAATTTTTGAGTGCATTCAATTTGCTTGGTGGAGGGAATAAACATCTGAGTCCCTGAAGTCTGTGAAGAGTTATCCGTCAGTATGTCCTTTAACGTGTCTTCAGGAAAACTGCAAAATCCACAATCTGTCCCTTTCCACCACATTGAGAAATTCCACACCAGTAGCACCATGAATGGGCTGCAGTCATCCATACGGAGTGCTTGTTTTCTGGGGTGTGAGCCTGATGAATATACTTTGCTTAACAGTGCTGTTACGATTTAACATCGGCATTTTAGTTATCAATATTTACACCCTTCAGAAAATTGGATGTTGGTAAACACACAATAGGCACAAATATCTGCCGTGACTGTAAGCAGGGAGAATGATAAAGGCCATAGTGCCTAGTTTGTTTTTAATTTTTACTATCATTGCCAGTCTTGAGTATTAAAACTATAAAACATTTCTAACTGGCTCGCTTTAAGGGGTTGGATTCATTTTTCGTTCTCTTCCAAACTTTTCAGAAATGCAGTTCATTCTTTTTCTCATGATTTATGACTTAATCTTTTTTTTTTTTTAATAGCATCACTTACTGTGGTATGAGACTTCCTTTAACCCCCAAGCTCATCTCCACCTTATCTTGCAGACTTGCAGGAAAGTTCCTCCTCTCCCAGGCACACTTCATCTCACACACCGGTAACTGCTTCCTGCTAAGCCATTAATAAACAGTGTGTTATTGTGTTTCCACCCATTTGCAAATCACAAACCACCAAATACACACAGAACATACCAACTGATTTAACTCACAATTTCTTCCGTAGAGGACTGTAATTGTTCAGGACGGAACACATGTTTACTTGGCACTGCTAAACCTCACCATGCCTTCACGTTGTGCTTTCAATGTAGTATAGAGACATCTAAGGTTTTTGCAGTGTAGTTATAAAATAAGCGTGGCTTGGTCCTTACATTTTTCTTCAAAAGAAAATCTGCAGAGTTATAATTATGCTAGATAATATTTTTATAATTTTTTTATTCTGACTAGTTGCCAAATTTAAACATAGCTTCAGAATATTACGCTTTACAGCAAGATTTTTGCACTATGTTGGCTAGAAGGTTATGTATTTGCCTAACAGAAGTACTGGTTCTCAAGGCCTCATCTACACAGGTGACATTCTGGTGCAAACTATTAAGGTCTTTCCTTCTGCTCCCTGCACTTTGGTTTCCAGGGGAAATAAAGCCAGACCCGCGCAGGCTCCAACGTTGCTCTCTGGTCTGATTCCTGATCTGGATAATTAGGAGCCTGAGACTCATCAAAGCACACAGACCACCCTGAGAAAAATACGTGGTTCTCTGAATTTGGATTTTTAATTTGCAAGTGCTTTCAGATAAAAGAGAACTCCTTGAAGGACTCTAATTAACTGGCACACTTATATAGTAGCATTTAAAGTTCAACTCTCTTTGTTTTTCTTTATAAATTGGGCTTCATTTGGGGGATTCAGTTTACATGAAACCCAGAAAAAGACAAGCTTGCCATTGTATTGCTGTGTTATTGCCATATAATGCCATCCATCATAGACAAAAAAGATGATGGTATGATGTTTCTCTGTTTGGGTGCAATGATATTCAATATGCTTTTTGGAGAGCTTTGTGGTTGAAGTCAGAGAAACCAGAGCTTTTCCTCTGACCTTTCTCATGTCCTTTGTAGAATTGTGATTCTTAAACCTTTTTTTTAATTTTTTTAGGTGCTGGAGTGGGAAAATGACTTCTAGGCCTCTAAGCTTTTCCTAAGACAGATAAAGGGATGTGGAATTTCTGGTACCAGGTTGCCTGTACTTTGAAGAACAAGAAATCATTTAAAAGTTGACACAGTTTGAGTCTTATATTTAAATTCAGATGTGCTGTAAAGAAATTCTGACTGCCCTGAAATCAGTGAAGTGTAACGCTTTTATGAAAAGTTTCGGTGACGACATTACTGTTACCTACTTTAATTCAAGTATTTTCTCACCTCCTGTCACAAGCGTGGAGGCACTCCTGCCCAAGAAAGGGGGCACCTGGGAGAGGGCTGGCAGCTACAGCAGCTCATGCATCCTGCTCTGGGCTGCCTCTTTTTTCCTGGGTACTTTATAAATTTGTCACAGCTTGCAGGCAGAAAGTGGCCTGCAGGTTGTAAGACGGCTACAGTCATTAGATGTAGCCTTCTTTGTATGAAAGAAAACATAACGCAGGGTTCAGTAAAAAGGCAGGCACGTGGCTTTGCTTCTTGTGCTTTGCTTTATAAAAATTACAGGGTAATGATGCTCTGAGCATACCGAAGAGCCTGGGACATACAGACTGGAAGATTTCTTTGAGGTTTTTATTGCCGGGCTTTTTCTGCCTCAGCCTGATCCGTCTGCCTAGGTCTGATCTTCCCCATGGCAGATCTGGCTCACAGGATCAGAAAAATGTCTCTTCCCTGAGGTTGAGTTGGGAGAACCTTTATTATGTACCGGATCTCTCTTCGCTCCCCTATTCCCTCAATATTTGTGCCAATAGGTGGAAAAGAGGAAAATACCAGTATGTTTGCTACTTCATAGCTGGCTTGTGTATCAGAAACTCGCCTTTCAGCATGGTCTTTATATGTGTGTTAAATGATTGAAAACTCTAACCGAAAAAATTGAGGCATTTTGCATGTATGTTTCAGGGCATGATACACAGGTCCCTCACCATCTTTTTGCGTTAGCTAATGGAGTTGCAAGGGTGGGAGACAATAAACCCTATCGAAAAGAACGTTAGCTAATGGAGTTGCAACGGTGGGAGACAATAAACCCTATCGAAAAGAGGGTCCTATCCTGTGTACTGAGGCACAAAGAGAAACAAGTATCAGAAGACAATATGAGAAAAATGTAAGAGAGTTGCGTACACTTGCAAATCAGCAGTGCGACAGTTAACCAGCACTAAAAGCTGCTTGCCTTAATAATGATGTCTTGAAAAGAAGCAGTAATTAGGCATGATAGTCTTGAGATGCACTTCCTTCACAACATCAGGCTTATGATGAGAATTTAACTCTCAGAGATACTTTCTTTCATTAAGAATGATTACTCAAGCATGGTTTTAATAATTTTTTGAGTAAAAATGTAAACA